GTTAATTGAAGAGATTTCTTTTCACAGTGTGCCCCAGATAAAAATCAATGAATTGGGTGTAGTCACGGCAATTAAAAACTTAACGGAAATACTAATCTTCTCTCACAGTACTAGAAAGTGTGCGTTCTGTGTCCTGTTAGGTGTTTCCCCTTTTGCATTCTGTCCCACTGACCCTGTCATTGAACAGGAATTTAGAGGCAATATATTCAATGGGTACCCAGACAGCAGTGCAAACCCATGGGAGGTTCTATTCCTTTCTCCACTCTGCCTAAAACCAATAGGTTTTAGCTGGAGCTTGGCCCTGTTTTTATCTTGGATTTCTTTTGTAAAGAAAATTGCAGCATCATGTTTTTTTTTTTTTGTTTTTATTATGAAAAGCTTGTGTTTATTGATCTAGAACTTTCCAGTAATGTATTTGAAAGTTGGCATTTGGTGAAGTTTTTTGTTGCATCATTTGGGTAGCCTGTGCTCTGCTTGATGTTTGCAAGCCATAGATTTGGTATAGTATTGCTTGTGGTAGGTAGACAATGTGTGACCTGCTTAGTCTCAGTAATTGTTCCACTTTCTACAAAGGAGCAGTGATGATCTTTCAATACATTTGCACAGATGCACTCTAGAGTCTGAAGAAAACTTGTAATGACTTTAGCCCCAATGAAAAATCCTCCATATCTAGGCAACTGCAGAGCTTTTTTAACATTTAGTTGCGATTTTGCTAATAATTTAACATGAATTTTGTCACAAAACTTCTCTTTGAGGTGTTAAGCTAGTAAGTTCAGTTGATTTCCTGCTGAATCCTCTGAAATTTGAACCATGGGTGGCCCTATAGGCACCACTTGGCTTGACAAAAGTCACTGTTTAAATATTTTTAGGCAGGTGCTGTGACTGTCTGAACACAATTAGCTGGCAGTGCAGATTTTCGATCCATGCTATTTGTTTTAGATGGCAGAATGTATTATTTTTCTCTTTTTCAGCTTAAATCATGCACACTGGATGTTTTTTTAAAAACCCTCCTCCTCTTGGCAGCAGTGGTTTAGCAAAAAAAAAAAGCCTGACGCTAGTAAAAGTGTCTAGTTTTTTTACAAGCGTTTAAGCGCATGTACAGGTGTCGTGCTTGGGCGTCAATTCATTTAATTGGCCAGAATAAAAATTCTGGCCATTGAAATCAATTAATGTTTAAGTGCAAAAAGCACCTAGCGTTAACAGCCGTTTCGGGGCTTTTACACATGTCAGGCATTTTTCTGCCATTACACTGTGCATTGGCTCTGGGTTTTTTTCCTGCTGGTAATTGCCCCCTGCCACTAAAAGCTTCTAAATTCTGTGTGCATGTACACACCTAGGATAACATGCAGGGGTGTTTGGAAGCAGTAAAAAAAAAATAAAAAATAACCTCCGCCTGAAGCCCCTAAAAGTGGCTGCAAGAACTCTGTGTGCATGAGGCCTCAGTGTATAGCTATTCTTAGTGTTTTGAATCCGAATTATATTAAAATTGCTAACACGTTGCACAAGAGAAAACCAGCTTTTTTTTTTTTTTTTGTGGGTGGGTATGGAGTGGTGAAGATATTTTATGAATTGGTTTAAAGGCATAGCCTCGACAGGTGTGGGTGTTCACATGATGAGCGGGAGATGCATCAGTCATATGTTTAACCAATGTAAATATTTTTTTTTTTTTTTTAAAAACACATTAAGGTGGCATTTATTGAAATTGGAGTAGCCAGAGTCTGGAGCCCCTGTGCCTGATAACCAGTCTGCTCTGTCTTTTCATTTTTAACGCTTAAAGCAGAACTAAACTCTCAAACAACTGTTTTTAACTCTTATGTCTTCGCAAAATAGGTAATATTTGGTTATTTTTATTTATTTTTCTTCAGCTGCTTCCTAGTTTTTGGTCTAGACCATGAGTCTTTATGGACACTTTTTTTTTTTTTTTTTTTTTTTTTTTTTTTTTTTTTTCTTTCATCTGGAGGAGGGCTTGTCATCGACGCTCACTTTCCTGCCTACATGCCTGAGCTAAGGGCAGATTTAAGGAAGTAAATGCAACCTAATTCATCTGCCTTTACTCAAGATGACTGCTGGTAGGAATGCTACGGAGAAGTTTTATCAAAGTGATTACTCAACAAAATAAATCGTGGAGACATGGATGGGTGCATTTGAAAATATTCATTTGTTTTTTTTTTTTTTTTATAGTTAAGAGACAGATTGTGGTGCTCAGATACAGCTGCGTTCAACTTTAAATAAGCCTGAAGATAGAAACTGGTTGCGTTGCACAGCCACTCCAGATTCTGGTTGTTTCAGTTTTTAATAATCTCCCTCTCTATTAATTTCTCTGAAATACTGGGGATTTTTAAGTAACTTTGCGAATGTAATCTTATTCCCGACCGGTTTCTTTTATCGTGTTTGAATACGTAACCTCTTACCACTGCCCTTTCTTTCCCACAGCTTTTGAAAATGTATCACCAGCCCATTGTAATTATTTCATGACATTTGTTCAGCCAATTTATAGCCTGTAGTGTTAGGCCAGGACAAAAAAAAAAAAAAAAACAAAAACTACTATTCCACATAATCATATTTTGCATGCTGTTTTTAATGAATTAATTTAGTGCACTGCGCCATTCAAGTAATCACTGGAGAAACTGAACTCTGCTCTCCTGCCAAGCCCCCACTAGCAACAACTTTGTCAAATACATCACACACACACAATAGACTACAACCCAGTGGAGATCTATGACTATTCTAAGGAATAAATCAGTGCATATCATATACATGTAAATAAACATCTCTTTGGGCAGAAAATATTAAAGCATGATGATTGCGTACTCACAAATGAAACCCATAACAAGGTATATGTGGCGCCAGACAAGAGGTCTGTGGACATCAATATGGAGCATCTTATAATTGGCTTGATGCCTAATAAATCACAAACAAAAGGCGAAACGCTTTGAGACCTGTGACTATTCTGCTGCACTTTGCCTCTTAATTACTTATATTATACTTATATTCTCATTAGTATATTTGTACAAATAACGTAGTTGCTAGTGTGGCCTTAGCAGGATTAGCGCTCTTTTAGAGACATTACATCGCAGTCTCACAATTTGTAAGCCCGTTTTTAAGGTACATTTTAACAGATAATTATTTGAATAGAACTAATTTTGCATGTGTTTTTTTTTTTTTTTTTTTTTGCCCCGAATGTTGATTCTGAATGTGGTGCCAACTAGAGCAAACTGACTTAGTGAGAATCAGTGGGGAAAAATGATCAGCAACTACTGAAAAAATGAAGCCTCTGCCTGAATATAGCTGTAGATTATGCATCTAGAGGCTAGGACTTAAAAAAAAAAAAAAAAAAAAAAAAAAAGGCAACTGGAACTGCAAACCTCTATATATGCATTCTGCTTTCCATAATTGGCTGGGTAAATCAGAAGGGATATACAATGTTGAGTAGAGCTTCCCTAAAGAGGAGCTGCTTTCCTCCCAAAATTTTATTGATTTCTCCAGTGGTTGAGTGCAGTATGTTGTTATAAAAATAATTTTTGGCTTCTGGCCCTAAAGTTATAGCATCAAAGTAGGTAGAGCAAATGCATTTCTCGTTACTCAGTCAAGGACTAGAATTACAAGGAAAGGCAAAGCTAAATGTTATTTGTAAAGTAGCCTGATATGTTTGGACATACCAAGTGGTAATGTTTTTAAAGAACAGGTTTCCTTTGTATTCACTGAAAAATCTACAGTGAAGCTGTTCAGGTCCTCTGTGTTCTATCAGACATTTTCAAAGCAGTTAGTATAGAACACACACAAGTTTTCACTGCATATGCTGATAGGAGTAGCCAGTTGTTTTTGGGGGGGGTAGAGGCTATGTAGGGCATGCAGCATACACATTTTACTTCCCCAGCTGTTATACCTCCTAATCATTGTGCTTTATGTCCATTAAGACATCCAGTGAATTTTTAATGACTGTCGCATTTCAGCGTAAACTGTAAGAATAAGATGTCTTGGGGTCCCATCAGAAACTACATCTTCATAATGCTTGCTTGTCTCTGAGTTTGCTTGTAGTGTTCTTGTTAAGCGTTTTAAAACCACTTTTGTATTATCCCTCAACAGAACCTTTTTTTATGCAGGTTTTTTTTTAATGCAATAATGGTTTTTCTTTTTTTTCATCTAGCCAAAAGAACATAAACTGACCTTTTTGTAAGTTTACCATTGGTACTCTAGCACATACAGGTCACACTTTTCCCACTTTCGTGCCCCTGTAACACAGTGCGATTTTTGTCTGGTCTAAATCACATGACAAGTCACACCCTATTTGTGGCTATGGAACCATTTAAATTGGTGTGACTCTGACTTTGCGGTGCGGCACTGATTTTGAAAAAAAGGTTCCTACACTATTTTTGGTGATTTCATGTGCAGCTTGCATAGACATCTGTGCATGAAGTTGCACAGATGTCAGGCAAGCCGCACATAAAAAAATCGCACTGACCAGCGGCTTTGAAAACTTGCTACTTCACTTGAAGTAATGCGATTTCAAAGTAGTGTTCAGTGTGAAGCAAGGCTCAGGGTAGAAGAACAGTTTTATTTATAAAATTTTCAAATACTCAATTATTTCACCTGTGATTGGTGGTAGACCTCTGCTACTATCCAGAAACTTTCCTGCTTTTGGCCGTTCCCCAGTTCCTATTGGCCTAATACATTGATGAGCTGCCTCTTTGTACAGCAGGAATGTGTGAGGCAGGAGAGAATCGGCAAGCTCCTTCATTACCAGGAAATACCAGAATTTTACCTCTTCGGATTGTCTGGCATTTGGCTGTAGAGGAGGGTTATAAAAGCTGTACCTAAAAAAAAAAAAAATAAATAAATTAAAAAAACCCCACAACAAACAAAAACTATTTGGAGTACACTAGTGTATGTGATTTTGTTATTGTATGTTTTAGTCCTGGCTTACGTTTTAGTTTCATACCTTTTTTTTAATTTCTTTTAGTTTTCACCTATTTTATTTATTTTTTTTTCCCCATCTACAGCTTCTGAATGTCACCTCGACGACGACTCCATTTTAATTCCAATCATAGTTGGCGCTGCACTTTCAGGCTTAATTGTCATTATTGTGATTGCTTACCTAATTGGCAGAAGAAAAACCTATGCTGGATATCAAACCCTTTAATTGCTCCCTCCTCAGGCCTGATTTGCACTCTTCTCTTTAGAAGTAGGTGCAAGTTCTGAAATATAATCTACAAAACATGCATCTTTCTCTCTAATTTGCCTTGGCAGCGTGGACCCCCTTGTAGAAACCCAACTAGTATGGAGCTACAAGTCTCACTGTGTTCAGGGCCTTGTGAATATGACTGTTATTCCTCAACAGCTGGGAAGATGCAAGTTTATTTTTTCCTACGCATACTCACTATTTAACGACTTCTAATGCTGCTAAATCTACGAAGAGAAGGGAATGTTTCTAGTGCATCAATATATTGCAGACCATGTTGTTCAGTCTTGCATCTACTTCTCCATCATTCCACATGTTTTAGATGTTTAAAAAATCTGCTCCAGCATGGAAACCACTCCGATTTTCAGTTGTATTTAATTCAAGCAGGGCATTATCTGTTTCTGCCGTTGAGCTGAACAATGTGACTGTACAAACAGCTGCCTAGGATACAGAAATACACTGCCATGGCTCATAATAGCCACAGCCCATAATAAGCAGGGCCCTGCTTGCTCAAGCCAGTGTTTATGCTCTGGTCATGTCTGCCTTCTGTTCAGAATATTTATCTTTTCATTTACTTTGTGTCTGCGAAATGCACTTCTCACAGGACAGAAGACCAGTACACTCAAAAATTTACACTTCATATTTTTCCCTTTGCCAGTGAGTATTGGGACAGAATATTAGCATACAGTGAACATATAATATGGTAGCTATGATTTTTATTTTTTTTAAGTCCATAGTGTTCCATATAGGCAATACTTTCATAGCAGTTTGCCCTTTTGGCTACCTCTGGCAGATTTCAGTCCTCTACCCTTTACCTAGTGTCATTAGCTTATGATTGTGTTTTTTTTTTTTCTTCAGGATCTTTGAATTATTTAAGGATGAAATGACCATTGGTGTGCAGTAGCCCTTAGCAGCCATCCATTACAGCCTTGTGCATGACATTTTGGATTGACTGCTAATGTTTACAGTACATCATTACTCCTGCAGTATACTACTACATAAGTCTCTTCTTTACAAGCTGTGTACAGTCATATGTAATATTTCAGCATTGAAACAAATTTAACTGATATATAGTTTTCTATAAATTGTGTATTCTTGTCCAATCTCTTGATGGAGAGAAAGAAGAAATGGTCCTTCCCTTGAAAACTATCATAATTTTAGGGAGATTTATTACTACACTACAAACTCTTAGAAATTCTCTCCATTTTAAAAAGCCTTTAATTTGCCATTTCAACTTAAAGCTAACTAAAGATCCATGTGTTACCAGTAGACTATATAAATAATAATGTTTGACCACGCAGCTGTAAATTTTAAGTTTTTTAGTTTTCTCTTGATATTTGTCTGCACCTTGAAACTGTTTTTATGGTACAGTTGGTAAGTTTTCTTACTATCCTGTTTTATAACTGTTTGGGCTAAAAATCTAAATCAAGGTAGAACATACAGAGATCAGTTACCTGACTGTCAAAGAAACCTACAGTTTAAAAGATGCCATTTATTTGGCCACTTTAAGTGCTCATGTCCTGGATTGACCAAACAGATGTGTATCCTCCTATACTAAAAGTAGCAGCTTTCCTTGTAAAATCGTCAGACCTCCATTTTTAATTTCTGCTGCACACCCAAGTTACTTTTGCTGTGATGAATGAACAATTATAGTGATATAGGATTACACTAGGAAGACTTTTTTTTTTAATCACCACCATTATGAAATGTCAAATGATACTATACCTGTATCATCTGGCTACAGATTTATGTAGGAGTGTTTAAAGGAAAGGTGCAGCTTCATACAACAAAGGTTATAACAGCAGCTCATAAAAAAATACATTTTAAATATACATTTATTAGTTTTCTCCAGCTGTAAACTAAAGGTAAACCTTCAAATAGGATACTAATGCATACCTCAAAAGAAAAGGGCCACACTGATGTATGGCTTTCCCTTCTCTTCATTCCTTTTGGCAATCTCCCTTAATGTACTACTCCTTTCCCTCTGACAAGAATTTTCTACAATTGCTATAATCACATCTGCCCTTTTCAGACAGTTTTCAGCAGCCTAATTGTTAAAGTGGTCCATAAGCAGTCATGTCTGAGTACAGACAAATGGCCATTGGCGAACTGCTGTTGAGGGTCGAATTAATGTGACTGGTCAGAAAATGTGTCCTTGCCCAACACCAACACACACACACCCCTTTATAGAGCACTCAGGCTGGAGGGTGGATGGATTGTGCCTGCAGAGCCTGGCACATTTTACTGAGGAGTGTTTTTGAGGTCGGATGACTAGATTAGTTTGGAGCTAAACCTGTCCTGTGTGCTGGCATTACTGTTTTGAAACTAAGTTCTGGCATACAACATGAGGCACTCAGAAAACACTATAAAACAGGTCAATTAACACATTTGCTTGAAATCCTTTGTTTGCTGTGAAAGGTTATAATTTGTTATATAAAGTTGCAATTCTCCTTAAAACTCCATTATTGTATTTTCCATTTTGAATATTTTAGGAATACTTGAAATTGATCACTCCACAAAATAAAAATGTAAATCTTATGATTTTTGTGTGTTTGCAATGGTATTCGACATCTACAATATTTTGCTCCTCCCTAGAATTTCTGTATGTTTGTTTTTTGTCTGATTGAAAGTAATTAAATTTATGAATACAATTCTAACCAAGCTTGAATAAAACTGAGTGGAAACACTTGTCATTTTTTTATATTTGATATTGTTGCCCTTAAACTGTGCAATTTGTTCCACTTAACAAATAAGGTTGTCTACATTTTACTTCGATATTTACTGAGCAGAGTATAAACGTAATCCACCTCAACTCTTGAACAGCTGCAGCATTACTTGTCCATGATGATTAATCTGATATCCAGTACTGAGAGTCTTAAAGTTATAATGCTGACTGTTACTTTATTATATCTCTGTGGACAGACTGCTGTATCAAAGATTGTCTGCTGTATTGACTGTATAGGGGTCACAAACCTGAATCCAGTTTTAATGTCGTAGTAGACACTTGCTTAAAAAAAAAAACCAAAAAAAAACTAGTGCACTGGGTAACAGTGGCTCTGTAATTGTACATTATAGGTGATCTGTAAATAAGATCATGTACCTCCTAGTTCTATGCCATTAGCGTGGGATCTTTGTGGATTTCTACTTGGGAGGAAAGGTCTATATTTTAGAGTTGAGTTACTAATAAAAATAGGGCTGCTTATTTTGCAAAGGGAATTTTCATTTAGCTTGGTATTGGGTGTTCTTTTCAAAATGAATTTACACTTTAGATTCACCTGATTTTATTAAGGGAAGAGAAAATCCTTTTAGTGAACACCATTTTGTATCCTTTTAACACCAAGCCTGGCAAATCTTGTTTGCAATTTAAGGCAGACCAAGTTTGCGATGCTTTATCCATTTTCTTATCTATTCCATATTTATGGATACTAATGCCAGGTACACACATTGAGTGTTTTTTTTTTTTGGTTCAACCCAGTGGGCTGAGCAGTGTTCGTGCGTCAATCTCTTCTGCTGTGCCTTTGTGTTCTGATAAGAGCACTGCTAGAACACATTAATCAGTGCTCGCAGCCATTGGCTTCAAGCACGGATCAGATGCTAGTTTTCCAGCATGTCCCTTCGACAAAAGCCAGTCCTTGGATCAGCTTTTGTCCGAAGGACAGCTGTACATGCGGTCCGAATGCCTGCCAGTTTCTGCTGAAGATTAGTTTAGAATTTTAAAGAAAATCATATCAAGTCCTTGGTTAATAGTTGGTGAAAGTCGGCAAAGGTCAGTTGGCTATATATGGTGTTAAAAGGTTATTTAACCTGTTCCCACCCGGCCAATAGCAGAATGACGGCCGCATGGGACTCTTGTCGATCCGAGTGGGTGTCCTATACTGTCCTTCACGGACCATGCCTCGCATATGCCCACGCTGTGGCAAGATCTGTCCCCGACTGTGTACCTTGGACACAGCTGATGACAAATCTGTGTATTGGCTCGTTATGTGACCTGCTGTGATTGGTCATAGCAGGTCACATGGTACTGTCAATTGTAAACAATGGATGGCTTCTTTTCATTCCATCTATTGTATACATTTGTGTCACTAGTTGTGATTGGTAACAGTGGTCATATGTACAGACTGGGCCGATGACAGCCCATCTCTGTCATGTGATTAGCTGTGGCCAATTGCAGCTAATCAAAACAAAAAAAAACCCTGATTGTATTGATTTCATTCAGTTAAATGCTTGCTTTATAGCAAAGAAATACTTTGCTATAAGCAATCCATAATGTAAAAAAAAAAACCCAAAACACTGATTACCTACTATGGTAACATTATACTACTCTGGTCAGTGTAATATGAACAGAAAAAAAAAAATCAGTCGCTGATCACCCAGTCAGTTTGATCACCGCCACAGTTTATATGATGACACTGTACTGCACTTGTGACTGTATGTTAAAAAAAAATAAAGATTGTGCAAGTTTTTTTTTTTTTTTTTTTCATTTTCGAGAAAATTAAAGCAAAAAAATAACTTCAAAAAATTGTCATGTCTCTTAAATACCTTGGACTGTCTACTTTTCAAAAGGGGGTCATTTGGGGGATATCTTTGTTGTCCTGACATTTTTGGCCTCAAGAAATTAGATTGGCCAGCAGTACTTCAGGATTGATCAGTTTTTCAGATATATACCATAGTTTATAACTTTACTGCAGACTCTGTTCACAAACACTGATTTGGGTTGTTTTAAGCAAAGAAATGTAGCAGAATACATATTGGCCTAAATTTTATATATTTATCTATAAACCGCAAAATAACAAACTTTTTTTTTTTTGCTTCAAAATTTTTGGTCTTTGTTAATTTAGTAAAAAAATAACACCAGTGGTGATTAAATACCACCAAAAGAAAGCTCTACTTGTGTGACCAAAATAATAAAAAATTTAGTATGTACAGCGTTTCATGTGAGCGCACTGAAAATTGGCCTGGGC